AAACATTCGTAACTCTTACTCTTTACACCCTAACATCGGTATGCATATTCTCCTATTGTTCTCCAAACATTTCCCAAGGTGCTGACAGGGATAAGAGCTACTTTATTTGGTGATTATTTCCTTTATTACATCCATTTTGAAATCACTGGTGGTCCCTGTAATCTGATTGGCTCTAATTGGTGCGATTTATTCACAAATCGCACCATTTTTTCCTCTAAATCGCATTATTTTACGCTTGACTGAGTTTTTGACACTTGACGTCAGTCTTTCTGTTTTGCATAGAAAATAAGATGTAAAAGCGTTTCCGGTTACACTTTTTATTTAAAAACTGGCTCAGTACTGCATCAGTAAAATATTTGAATTGACCAAGTCCTGTATTTGGGCGATTTCAAAATGGATGTAATAAAGTGGTAATTGAACCTCGTGTCGTGCAATTTTGGTCTGAAATCATACTTGTGATTTCAAATGGAACACGCGCTGCGTACTCGTTCGATTTTGAAATCACGCGTATGATTTCAGCCCAGTTTAATTACCATTACTTATTCTTGTGACATTAATGCGTGATTCAATGAGCAGGGTGTCAAGTGACAAACGACACTTAGAAAATAGGAAAATAGGAATTACAGTGGCCAAAAAATAGGAAATAAATAGGAATTCTCACCCCAAAATAGGAAAAAAATAGGAGGATTTCTTTGAGTCCTATCCTCTTAACACTCCCAAGAGAAACTCTGTTCCACAACCCAATGCTTTAATATTTAACAGGCACCATGACATACATCCATAATGCATTGCAGCCCCACTTCAAAATGGCAAATGCACATACATGCAAATTAACCTCCCAGAATCCCTTGCAAGTTATCAAAAGCACTTAGAAAGTCTGGGCCCTAGTTTCAGAAGAAAATCACTCATAAAGGCTTCAAACTGGTCTTTTTTGACATGAAGTTTCAGTTTTTTGTAGAATTTATCAATTTTATTTGCAATTTTATTTCAAATATTTCAAAATGTTTCTGTGTACCTATTAAAACTAAAACCCTAAAAAAAATTAGGAAAAACTAGTAATTTGATGAAAAAATAGGAGAAAATAGGAGGCAGGCCAAAAAACAGGAAAAAATAGGAACTTGACACCCTGAATGAGTAAAGTGGTTTCAAATTCACTGCAATCCTTTCTTAGTCATGTTCACTTTAATTGCAATGTTCTCACGATGTGTTGCAACTGCATTTGTCTTCATACTAAAGATCAATGGCCACTAACACTCCCTTGAATCACCAACAGAAATTCTTGAATTGGATAAGAAACGATACTCAACTAATACCACAACTGCATAACAAGTGAGGACGATGTTCAACTAACCTGGAATTGCAGCAACAGTTGATAGGCTAGAAGTTCTTGACGAAGATCATCCCCACATTTCACGATCATCGGTAACAGTTGTGAACGTAACAGTCAAGAAAATTTCTAAGAATTCGCACGCTTCATTCAAGTAAAAAAAAAAACTAACTCGATTTTGAACGGTAAATTTGAGTTTCATAACATCCCTGTTCATTTTTCAAGCCCCGTGATTATGTCTGAATTAGTTTAAATCTATTTGGGAGGGTCGTTATATGTCATATGTTGTCTGGTAATTTGTCCAAAAAAACGAGTAGTATTTCAACCTGTTAGGTTCCTTCCCACGGGAGAGATACAGTCGCCAAGAAATTGTCCATTTGTTTCCCTTGCCATTATAAATTTCACCTAAAATATCCGCTTAAATCACAAAAAGCGTGAATGATATCACATGCCTAAAATAGCGTGTTCTAGAACGCATGCGTATCTACTGACTTTAAAGAGGATATTCCAGTTAGGCACGTGACCATAAGGTGATGCCTCACGAATCCTTGCCTCTTTTTCTTCCCAAGGTTCCTTGAGGACAGCGGCTGAAACGAGACCAAAAAATGAGAACATATGAGCAAATGAGGGAGAGAGAATAGCCGAATAAGGGCACTTTCAAATAATTTGTCTACTTGATACCTGAAGGATCTTCAGGGTCCCTCTTAAACAAGGCTTGAGGTGCACTAAGGGACTCTGAGAGTCTTCGTCTTATGTCCCCTGCAGCAACAAACGGACCCTGCAAATGGCAACAGATACGTAGTTATGTCATGCAGTGTATGCGAATAAACTCCCTTTAAGAGAGAACCTGCATTCGTACGCTCCCTTATCATAGGCGAAAAGCTGTCTTTTTTCCATATGCGTGCGCTAATCGTAGGCGAAACTTAAACGAGGATGCACAATGCAATATCTAACAATTATTCCACGAGCGCGCGTTGGATATGAGATGATAGATAGCCAACGAGGCGCGTAGCGCCGAGTTGGCTATAATCATCCCATATCCAACAAGCGCTCGTGGAATAATTGTTTTATTAAAAAAAACGCCTCCAAGATATTAGACCAACCTTCTCGACTTTCTTTTGTAAGAAGAAACCGGATGTTACAATGTACAGATATTGCATTATGGTATATTGGCTCATATACCATAATGGCCAAGCCAATAAAAAGTCTTGAATTGCATTATCCTATGATCCAGTTTTTAATAATAAGGATTACCTCATACACAAATAGATTCCATGTCGCCGTGCGCTTGTTTAGTAACAGATCACAGATGACATCAAAATGCGGTAACAACAAAAAAATGGCACTGATGTTCTCACCACATCTTGACGTCATCTGTGATCTAATAGAGAGATTTAGCAACCGCGTTTTACGTTAAACGGCAAACGTCAGCTTGCCCTTTCACGCTTCACGCAAAATAGCGTGAACCTTGCTGCTTTAGCTCCGCGAGAGCTCACGTCATGGTGGATTTGAAGGCGCCCTTGTATGACTTACAAGGAATAGTTTTTGTGCCCTTTTTCCGGCAATTAACTTCTACTTTGTGAGAAAAAATGAAGAAAATCTCACGTACACGGCAAACCCGTAACAAGTAGAAACGGCTAAGCGCAACCGGCGCACGTGAAAAAGTGGCGGGGAAAACGAGGTCACGTGGTCACTCTTGCCGTTCGCGTTTCACGAAAACGTTATGCTAAATCTCTAAATTTTCTCAACAGACCCACGACAACACGAACTCTATACGTTTTGTAAGATAACAAAAGCAAAATGTTGTTAATGGTGACTCTATGCGTCTGTCCTATAAAATATCAGAAGCAGGAAATCAGAATGCGTGCGCAATTCAGCTTGTTAATATCATAATATAAATAAAAATAGAAACTTACATCCACTGTTTCTTGATTTGTCTTATCTTCAATCACAGTAGACCAGCATTCATCATCTGAGTCACCACCAGATGATATCTATTGAACCAGCAAAGAAAAGGAAATTGTTGTTAAATTTTCACGAAGATAGTTAACCCCTCTCTTGTACCTTTTTTGAGACTTTCTATGCTTAATTTTCCGATCAGTTTCCTCTATGATTGGAGTAACAAGTATGGACAAATACAACAGGTACAGCAGTTATCATTTCATGTGATTCTAAGACTGAAAGACCTTCAATACAGGTTCTAGCTAGGATTCATCAGTTACTCACTGCAAACTGGGGAACTTCTGACCGGCAGTAAGTTGGCAAATGTTCTTCTGACCTACCGAAAAAAAAATTGAAGAATATAATCAATATGGAGTTTGTGTTACTGGTGGGAAGCTGAACTCTCAGTGACTCTGAAAGTGCCACAGTTGTAACAAACCAGGGCTCGACAATAACTTTTCAACTTACTAGCCAAGTGGTTAGTGACAAGTTAGACGTTACAACAATTTCAGTTTGTTTCACTAACCAAACTGGCTCGTGGAAATCGAAAATCACTAGCGAAAACTGGATTTCTACTAGTCTGTGGTTAGTTGGCTACTGTTAGTGTTGAGCTCTGCAAACTGTTCAATCATGAAAGTATCCATCACACAGAGTGGTCATGGGAGATGATAAAATTGTTATGACACTGTTGTTGATAGTAAAATAGTATGACATCATTCTTGCTTTCCTAAAACAGTAGTGCACATGAAGTATATAATGAGGATGAAAGTAATTATTTACCAGTAGATGGCTAAGGAAAGTCCATTCTATATCCTCACACACAAAGTAATTATAATTATATTTCATTTTTTTAATTAATTCATTAAATTGTGAGAAGGAAGAAAGGAAAAAGACAAAAAAGGATGTACATGTACATGGTACTTACACCAGACTTAAGGTTATTGTGTTTACAAAGTAAAATGTAATGAAATTATTGCTGAGTTACCTTGTTTGTCGTAATGTAGGCTGGAACTGTTTTGTTGGCAATGGATCATCTCCATTTCCTGAAGTACACAAAACCTCAACATATATCATGTATGGAGCCTGGAATATAACAGACAGATGTTAGGACACCAATAGTGTTCTTAGAATAATAATTACAGGTATAATAACAGTTCTTGGGATGCATTTGATGCATTTACAAATCTGCGAGATTTGTTCAATTCAAATAAATGGGAAATAAACATGGTAAATGAATGTAAACATAGTGTCTAAGAACCCCAACTAGCAAGAGGCAGACCTGAGAGAGAGAGAGAGAGAGAGAGAGAGTAGGGTGCCTTGCCAATGGCTTGAGTCTATTTGATCCAGGGTTCTGCCAACTAACATCTACCTCACTGTGAGAACTGTACAATGATAACTTCTACCTAACAAAGCACAAGGGCCATACAAAAACAACCAAGGGGCAATCTTTCCCAGTATGGCTCACTAAGTGAGGTTCAGTGAATAGTTTATTGAATTGCAATCAGACCAAACCTGTTTATTTTAAATTTTCCAGCTTTCACGGGAAAAAAAAAAAAAAAAAAAAAAAAAAAGAAACCAGAATGTTCAGATTTACCACAACACAACCTTACCATATAATAATATGCACTTGTTGACTGAGCGGGAGGGACAGATGGGAAAACATTTGGCTCGAGGTCATAATGTATGAACCGAGCACAGCGAGGTCCTTGCCTTATGACTGAGAGCCAAATATTTTTCCATCCAGCACAACCAAACTTGGTTACTCATAAGCTTTTTATAATATGACCACTACGAGTTGAAAATTTCAACCTAAATAGGATGCGATAGAAGGGCACACACTGCCAAACAAGTACAAAAAAAAATTATGGAATTATAACTTTTCCTTTATTTTTTTGAATCAGAACAAGGAATTCGCAATTCCTTGAAAAATGTGACATTTTTTTTCCCTTTAAGTTTTATAGGTACTGGTAGGAAACATCACTTAGCTCAACACTAAGTATCCCACTCTAAGATGGCTAACCTTATCTTTGGAGTTAAGAACCACTGCTGCTGTGTGTGGTATTCTGACAACATAATGATCTCCAATTCCACTGTGAACTGGTAGGCTGACTTTGGCTGGCAAGTTCAGATTCAAGAGTGACAATTCTGCATACAGTCTTGACGCTACAGAAGGGGTCAGGTAGGAAAATAATCATGTCAGTACACTGTAGTTAACTCTTTACATCCTAATATCCACATCCATGTTCTCCGTACTCTTCTCTATAGATTGATTATCTTATCATTTATTTAGATTTATTGAGACAATAGATCCTTTGATACTGACTAGGATAATTTGCTTCACAATCAAAGCTTCTCAGGTTAGTGATCATTTCCTTAATTCTCATGACCTCAATGAACAACCTGGCAGTGTTACTGTAAGGAGAAATTACATGCTGGTCACTGCTGGGGTTAAAGGGGTAAAAGAATGGTTACCACACTGCAAACTTACTCTTAAGTTCTTTTGTTGGCAAAGAAGTGAGCCTCTTTCCAACAGCAATCAATGCACTTATGAACTCTCTTTGAGCTACCAGCTTTGGAGACTGAAAACAACAACAACAAAAAAAACTATGTAAGAAAACAAATCAACAGATGGTTATCTACTGTGTAATACTTTTTAAAAGCATAGAATTTAATTAGCTTATTTCGCGGGAGGAAAAAGTGAGTGAAAATTCATTCCAGTGTGACTGCCCTATCTCTCTTTATAATCTTTTTATAATCGTCTTCTTCAGTTAGTGACCAAATTATACTGGCTAATGATAACTGACAAAGATTCTGTAATTGGCTATCACTGCATTTTATATTTTGCAAAACAACAGGAAGTGAGTTGCGTGAAAATCAATTCAAGCCAACTTATCAGTTTTTGTAACTAAGCAAAAATACATTCCTGCCTTCATTAAGTCTTCTACAGAAAACTTCAACACAACAAAAGAAGCAAACGGAAAACATGCATGATTGTATTATACGATAAAAGACTACAAAGAGAGAAGTCTAACCTGGCACCCACAATCTGGAGTTCGATCTAGCTCAGAGAGAAACATGCATGATTGTATTATACGATAAAAGACTACAAAGAGAGAAGTCTAACCTGGCACCCACAATCTGGAGTTCGATCTAGCTCAGAGAGAAACATGCATGATTGTATTATACGATAAAAGACTACAAAGAGAGAAGTCTAACCTGGCACCCACAATCTGGAGTTCGATCTAGCTCAGAGAGAAGAGGACTTGAGGCATTGGGAGATATTGCAGGTGAGTGTTTGGCGCAGCGGCTGTCAAATGCATGGCCATATCTCAGGTCTCCAGTTGGGGATTCATACTCATTCGACTGAAAAAAAGATAAGATGTGAGACATCTGCAAATACTTAACCTTCACAGCCTAACATCAGTATCTGTAATCTCCATACTGTTCTTGATACCTTTCCTTTGGTACTGAAAAGGAGAATACCTTCAACAATCAAATCTTCTTAAGTTGGTGATCATTTCTGTTATTCTCACAACCTTAATTAATGATTCAAAAGCATTACTGTGAAGAAATTACATGTGAATCACTCTTGGCTCAAAGTGAGTTCCTAATGTGGCTTTGTAGAGTATTTTATGCATGCATAAAGTTGTTTTTGATTTCTTAGGTATAAGCAGGGATGAAACACTGATGAGCCCATCAGTCTTGGTTTCAATCTCAAGCCTGCTGCTTCATGTGGGCTAAGTTAGCAGTTAGTTCTCATCTACACTAAAGGAAGTTCTCTTTTAAAAAGTTTCCCTGTCCCAACAAAATTCAACTCTTCTAACTCCAATTCAACCTTGAAAACAGACGACGAAAATCCACCTTGTCAAAGTGCCAGTAATAAAATTCAATGTATTTCATTTATTTATTGATTCAGTCATTTCTTCTCACTCTCATTTTCCTTGCTATCAATCACTAACTTGCATCAGACGAGTAGAAGCTGTTATAGCAGCAGTTGCATCTGATTTTGATCTCTGGTGAGTTTTCTTTGCTGGAGTGGTAATTGTCATGCCTGTGGCTCCTGGAGAAGCAGGCAAAGGTAAAGTGTGAGACCCAGAAACTCCACATGGACTTAAGGGTGACCTGTTAAAGATAAAATGGATAAACACATATTAAATAATTAAAATGTACCTAGATAAAATATAACAGGTTAGTCAACATTTAATGTAGTTAAGAAAAACATTTTCGCTCTTTGTTCAGACTGTACTGAATTTCAGTCATCTAACATCAAAACTTTGTATGAATGCTTGGAACATGGACACTTCTTTTTTTATTATTACTATTCTTTTAATTCTGTATCAATGTAAGGAAGAACATTTGTACAAACTGTCATCAGAAGCAGCAAAATACTCATCCCATTCCCTCAACATTCATAGGGTCAATTTGTCAGTTAGAAATTATGAAACTATTAAACCAGGATTCAATCTACCCCTATAGTAGAGAATTCTAGGAAATGCATGCATACCTTGGTCTGAGTTCATCCAAAATCATGTGCAGTAGCCTGACACCTCTGGCGTATTCTTTTGACGGGAGCCATCCATCGGCACAGTAAGCCTCCAACAGCCATGAAGCCTGGAAGAATTTCAAGAGATTCATTTATGTAAAACCCCTCATTCTTCTATGCTTGAATTGTCAAGTTCTGCTGTACATTTACTGAAACTCATGCCATAAATTTCTATAATTCCTAGTGCAACCCACTAATTGTTGTGGACAAAACAACAAAACCCCAATTTTTATGTTGCCTGCCATTAGACCTCCACCATGATAATGCCGATTACATTTCACCATCGAACTGTTGGACTTCCAGTACTTTTACGTGCTCATGGATTATTGGAATACATATTGAAAGATTCATAAACTGCATTCAGTTGCTGACTGATTAAGAAAATGAAGGCAACCAAAGCTGTCTAAAAGAGTGATTGCCTTAGCATTCAGTTTGGTAAAGCATGCACAGAGTTTGAGTACTACACATAAACAAAAGCCCTTCATGTTATTTTTTTTTTGCTTGTGGCCCGAGTTTCAGTTGAGGCACTGTAACTGTGTGAACTATTTAAAATGAATCTTGCATACCTGTAAAGCAAAGGCAAAGCTTCTTTTGCATCTTTCAACCAAATATCTATGAAGGGCTTCTGACACTTCGTCCACATGGATATACATGTTACTAAAACATAAGATTTTAGCTGAATTAGATTACGGGAAGTCACTGTCAAGTAATTATAGAGTATACTGTCTGTAATATAATACTGCTGTAAAAAGAAACTTACAGCAAGTTAATGCAGCACACAATAAATTAATACACAATAAATTTCCCAATTGTTAATCTATGCATGGGAGTCAAGAGAAAATTAGAGAATCACACAGAGCTAACTCAAAATCCAAACTCATATCTAAATAAATCTTTCTAAAATTAGTACTCCTTTATAATTTCTTGACTATACAATTGACCCTTGGGAAACTTTGGTGCTAAGAGAGATCATTAACAGTTATTGGGTGATAACCATGAATTAAACTAAACAGCAATAACTTACATAAGCTGAGGCAAATAAAAGTTGACATCTTCATCATCAAAGGTCTACAAGAAAAAACATTCCCTTTTAAAAATATATTATCTTGCAACTTGTTAACATCAATTGAATAAAGGCTGATAGTTTTGAAAGAAACTGTTTGGGGCTGCATCGGTGGGAGTAACAAAATAATTTGGATATATCAACAAAGTTGAAATGGTAAATTGGCCACTGTAATGATTACAAAAGCTGACATTTCGAGCGTTAGCCTTTCGTCGGAGCGAATAGAGAAATTGTGGGTTGTGTGTGCTTTTAAAGGCAGAAAATGGAGCTACGTTATTGGTGGGAACATGGCAATGAGAAAAACACGAATAAATTAGTGGAATGAAAAGCATTCGTTGATCCCAGTGGGATTTAGACTGCCGGTTAATAAGAGATTATTGTTAAGAGATTATTGTTAATAAGAGATTTTGTAATGCTCTATCTTCACACATCCCATGAAGCAACACAATGCAACTTTAGTTTAAAGCCCATATATTAATTGAATTTTATGAAAACCAAAACCTAAGTAATCGTGACTAATCAGCCATAGGTCAAATATCAAAATGAACCAAAACAAACTCAAACTAGAGACACACAAACTACTTGATGATAACTAAGCTGCAAATGGTTTAAGTTCTACAACTAGCTGATTGAGAGGAAGGAGTTTTTGTTATGGCAAAAACCTAAGCAATCCTGGATTGCTTTTAAAGTGCATATGACACGAATTTTTTTTCTCCCGTTTCTTGTACTTGGATATCTATAGAAAACGTTTGGAAGCTTTCAAAGTGCTGGAAAAATGTAAAAAGCATTTTTTTCGCTTTCAAAATACGCGCAATTTGCCTTCAAATTTCTCCCAGAGACTGGCACCTAGTTTATCACTGTTGAAGTTATTCGTGATGTCACATTGTGTACCTTTGCCACAAAGGTCTGTTGTCGCTAAGAGGATTCTACAGTACTTCGTAGTAGATAGATAGCGATAGATAGTGCATTGAAAGGCAAAGATGTCCAGTGATTCTAATGATTCCTTTGAGTCTGACTCTTCTGAAAGTTCCATTGAGGTACACAATGTGATGTCACGTTATGATATCACGTGCAATTTTGGCCGCATGATGACTGGGACAAATTTGAAGGCAAATTGCGTGTATTTTGAAAGCAAAAACAATGCTTTTCAGATTTTTCCAGCACTTTTAAGGCTTCGAAACATTTTCTATAGATATCCAACTACAAGAAACAAGAGAAAAAATTTTCATGTCATTTGCACTTTAACACTCAACTGAAAATTGACAATCAATTGCAGGGCTCTTTCATAAAATGTAACAACTATAGGAGTGATCAGGAATAAAGAGGACAGCTAAGTCAGAAAACCCTTGAATCTGAAATTCACATAAATTTAAGGTTATTTTGTATCATATCGTTAAATTTTTCAATCTAAGTTCAATTCCTTTCCCATAAGTTCTACATTCTACTGTCATTTTCAATTACTTCAGAAACAAATAGTTTTGTCTAAAAAACTTTTCTTCTATCTCTAATTTTGCAGTAAGTGTTTGTAACAGGTGTAACTATTGGTATGGCTATTTATTCACAAATGAAAGGATTATTAAAATTTGTGCATGCAAGATAATTACAGTTAAATATTACAACAACATTATGCACTGTAGCTGAATTGAGATATAAAAACAGGATTGTTGTAAGTTACTTCAATCCATTTTGACCTCACAATACTAATCTTCACAATACTTACAAATAATTTGTTTCCAAGATATGTCAGAACTCCGGGTTCTTTGGAGTTGAATAAATATGCAATCGCTATTGACATGTCAAATAGCTTGGATTCAAACAGTCGCAACAACCAGGAACTCTTTGGTGGTGGAAGGCTAGAGTTTGAATCAGAGTTTGAGTCAGCTAGGTCGAGTCTCAGGTGCTTTCGAAGATCTTTAGTTCTTTGTTGCATCTCACTTTCTGTTAATTGTGAGTCCATTTCCGTATGATACATATCACCATTAGGAAGGAGTGAGTTTCCCTCTTCATTTGGGTTATTGTTTACAGGTATGATTGTCTCACTGGATTGTGAGTCAGCTCCAACAACATCTTGCCAAGTCTTGAAAGGATTTGAATCGGGAGAGGAAGGAATTGGTTGTGAAGTACAACATGATTCACTTTCAGTCATAACCGTAGTAATAAATCCTTCACCCCTGGGAATGAAATATCGGAAAGGCCAATTGTAACGTTATATTGCGCTCCTGTAACATTTAGAGCTCGAGCACGGAATTCAAAGTACTCTGTACAGATGGACTCAATAGGCCAATAACCGCAAATCATGCACAACTTGTTTTGATTCTATTTACAACCAGACCTTTGAACTTGTTGTGGCGAAAGGGAAACAAAATTACATATCACGTTTTCTCTGTAAAGTTTATTTGTCGTGTCACGATGGCACGAAACTGATGTTTTGGAAATTTTCAAAACGAAGACGACCAATAAACCAGCACAATGTAAGTGAAACAGGCTCCTCTCTTCTTTCCGCCGCGCGGTTATTTTGTTAGTACCAGTCACGACGCCGAAAGTGTCAATACCAGACAAAAGAAATTCTTATTGCATGAAAAAATTCGACCGGAGCTACTAGTATCAAATCGGAAGTGAAGCTAATGTTGGGGTCGTCGGAGTGGGCGGAATGGAATTCACTCACAGAAGTCACTATTCCTCCAGAAGGTTCCAGAGTAACAGCTCTAACGAAGATTTAAATCGATTTCTTTCACGTGCTGGCAAAACTGTCCTGATTAGCCGGGAAAGCACGACTTTTCCAATGGTTCAGTGAAGCGAAGTTTCCTTTTCAATCAAATGACAGATCTTGGTACGGTTCATGTACTATTTACGATGTCTCCATACTCCGGTCATTGCCTTGCAAACCCTATCGTCTTAGGTAATAAAACATTGCTAAAGAAGGAAACCGTGTGGCTATTGTCTCCTATTTATATCCTAGCCACAGGGAACAAATTCTGCGATTTCTCCCTGCGCAACTTCGCCGGGATGGTAAGGCAGGACGAACAGCTGCCGCTAATAATTACCCACAATGCAGAGGGAGTCCTGCCCTCGTGAAACCGGGGAGATCTGGATTCCACCAAATCATAAAAACGAAAGTTGCAGAAGTTCATATATTTCATAGTTCAATTCCACGATTAAAACCTTTGACAATTGTGCATAGTATATAAAACCACATTATTTACCCCACTCATAAATGCAGGAGGAGGCCAGGCTTCTCAGTAACAGTGAACATTATTGGCAGCCAGGCTTTGTTTGCTTGTTGCTTTTTTGTCAATTTTTAAATATACGAAGAATATGAAGATTTTTCATCAGAAAAATAGAATAAGATAAGCTTCAACAGGAACTTCGTCTGAGATTTGTATTTTTTCTTTTCATTTCGGGAAGAGTATCCGATGGGTATTGACCCTTGCGTTTTCAAGTCCAGCAATCCCACAACCCATTGCGATTCTAACTCAAATTTGCCTTTCACGTGTGCTTTTCTTTGGATTCATTGAGAACTTGTTGTTTACGGGGAAAAAAAAGAGCGTTTTACAGAGATTAAGAAGTGCTTCCTGGTCTGAAATAAAGGCCCTGTATCTTGAGGGCCTCAAGAGACACATGGCATCAACGGAAGAAGCAGTAAAAAGTGAGAATTCGTCCGCCCAACCAGGTAACCCATCGGAAACAGCGAAACCAGCACAGGCCGCTACAACAAATCCAGTGACATCTACTGGCGCTGTAAAGGTGATGAAAGTTTTCCTGTTTTTGTCGTATTTTTTTTTTTTTTTCTATTGCCCAAACAAAATTACATTTCATACGTCTGGGTAGGTTTGAAAATCTGTTGTACACTTGGTTTAATGTTGACTTCACATTAAGAAACCAGTTACCATAAACTTAGATTTACCGGATTATTCTAGTCTTAGAATGCATGCTTTTTTTTTATAATTCTGTACATCTTAACGGCTTCTAACGTCACAGTTGGAGAGCCCAATTTGTTTTTTGCAAATCAATTATTTAAGGCCTTATTTTGATGTATGTTCCAGTCGTTAGCTTAGATCATGTATGTTGCATGCTCATTGGAAACCACAAACTTTGCGCGAACGGTATATTATGGTTGACAAGCAGTTTAACTCCATAGTAAGTTACGATATCTCTTTACCCGGCTTAATTTAACAATGAAATTGCAATCATATAATCCCAATGTAAATTGCTATGTACTTATATCCTGGGTGAGACTCTAGCATTATTTTTCAGTGATCATTTAGGTAACTTGTCACACAGTAATATTTCTTTTGCATGCACAAGATCTTGTCGAGTTTTGCCATACTTTGCAAACTGGACTAGAACTCTGATCCAGTGTATGAATCTGGTGCAAAGTACAGGGAATTGTGTGTCACCAAGTTTCCATTGAGATCAGACGTTTATGATCCATCAAATCTTTTTGCTTGCCCACCATTGGTGTAAATGTATCTCATGACCAAATGTTCTCCAGCAAAACTGGGTGAAATTCGAGGATATCACTCATGATTTTCCCCAATTTTCAAACCTTACATCTAGTACCATGAGATGAGAGAGTATTTTGTGGTTGCTACAGACCTTACCTTAACCTTAAATCTCTTTGTGCCAGGAGCCACATAAGGCTTGGACATCTCTCCTCCACTGGCTTTGGTCTGTAGTTGCATGGCATACAGCACTCCATGTTTAATTTTCCAGCCTGTGCGGTTTCTCTCCTTTTCTACCATTTGCCACCATGTTATTTTTGGTTGGCCTCTTTTCTTTCTTCCCTCTGGTGTCCGACCAAGGGCCACAGCACAGTTGTTACTGAAAAAGGGAAATATTTGTACCACAGAACACTAAAAAAAAAAATCCCACATTGGTTACAGTAAGCTGTCTGTAAACAGTTTTTCAAGTGCACTGCAAAACATTTGAAGGATAATAAACACAACAGCCACTATTTTGCTGGAAACATGCTTTTATATTCATCCTTGTGTTGTTTGCTCAGATCCACATCAAAACTTACAACTTTTTTATTCATTACAAGATCACTATAATTTTTACAGAGTGCGTTGCTCGTGCTTATGTGAATTGCATAGTTGTGCATGCTGTGCGAGTGCGAAGGTGATAATTACATAGTGTAACACCTTTCCTCTTTTGAAAGATGAAAGTTATGAAAGTTAAAAATGGCACAATTTGGTTTTAGTCCATAACAAAGTCACTAAATCTTTGAGGAGGCCTTCGTTGTCTCACTGAACAACGTAACGTGTATGAAGTCCCTTCCTCTCCCTCAGGAGCAGATTCTACTGGTTGATGCGTGTGTGTAGGTTCGTTTTCAGGCAAGGAAACAATTTCCAGATGGTCGTCTGCTCTCTCATGTTTGTCTTCTGGTTCAGCCTTTGCCTCTCTAATCTGCATGTGATTCCTCTGAACTGGTCCCATTGAGGTGTTAACAATGCAAGATCTTGGCGCAGTGCTTCTGATAACTTTACCATCTATCCAGGGTTGGTGTTTATTTGCTGGCTTGGGTTTAATGAAAACCTTTTCCTCCTTTGAAAACTCTTTGAGAGGTTGCGAGACCCTCTTGTTGTACTGAGCCATTGATCTTTGTCTTCTTTCTTCCATGTTTGCATACACCAGACTTGGCGATGCTGCCTGAGGGGTGAGTTTGTGGTCTGCTGTAGGGATGATATCTTTGAGTTTTCTTGACACGAGAGGCTGAGCTGGTGAATAGTTGTGACCTTGTTGAGGCGTGTTTCTGTATGCCAGGAGAGCCAGATAAGGATCCTCTTTTCGAGATTTCTTCAGGATGTTCTTGGCAATTTTGACCGCTGATTCTGCTTTCCCATTTCCCTGGCTGTAGTAAGGTGATGATTTGACCATGGTGAAATCATATTCTTGAGTGAATCTTAAATATTTGTGACTCTTGAATTGCGGTCCATTGTCTATTATTAACTCATCTGGGATCCTGTGGCGAGCAAACTGACACTTCATTGCTTTTATCACTGAGTTGGCCGTGGTGTTTCCGCTGAGAGAGTCAAGTTCAATGTAATCACTGTACTGGTCAACCATTACAAGGTAATTATTTCCATTTAATTGGAAGAAGTCAGCACTTATTTTTTACCATGGCCTGGTAGGTATTGTGTGAGATTTCATTGGTTCCTGTGGTCGCCCATTAGCATACTGGGCACAAAGTCCACATGAAAAGCATTTCTCCTTGATTTCTGCTTGAATTCCAGGCCAAAAAAGAGACTCGCACGCTCTTCTTAAGCCTGGTTCACATATAATTGCAGGCGATTGCATGCGATTGCACGGTTGCTGAAACCACTCAACCAAATATCGCGAATCGCATGTTCACATATGATTGTAGCCGATCAGAGCGATCTGTGACAACTGAGTCCACGGTTTACCATTCAGTGGCAATACAATGTAACTCCAGTCAGCCAACATATTAAAAAGCAAAGGATGCTGAACTTTTAATAGGTGTTGACATTCTGCTTCTGTTGTCTTTACCCTAAACGGAGAATCACTGCCAGATCAAAGAAGAAATGTTGCTTCTTGGTGCAGAAAGTCTTACGAAAGAGAGAATTCTTTGCTAAAGCAATTGAACAAACAATTGTATTTTCTAATTTCTTCCATAAACTGTTCCGTGTCAATTTCACCTTCCATCTTGTCAACACATGCACTTGTAAAAGTTGATAAACAACTGGTTGTTATGGTATCATGCCGCTTGCAGAGCATTATTGGACACATTCCAATCGCATGATCACAGAACTTTGTTCACATATGATCGTACTCGATCAATCGCAACTGATTACACGAATAGAACATGGTTCTATTCCTGCGATTGTCCGCAATCACGATCGCACTGGATCGCACACGGTCGCAGAGCTGTTCACAAATAATCGCAGATGATCGCTGGCGATCTTGTGCGATCGCCTGCGATAGTCTACAATCATATGTGAACCAGGCTTTATACTGCTCTCAGCCCCCTGGTGTGCTTTGTGTATTTTCTGCAACATCTCTTCTCGCAGCGTAGAAGGGACAATAACTTGGTGAGATCGATAGGCTACTCCATCGTAAATGGAAATTTCATCTCTTAAGCTCCAATAATGCCTTAGTTGCTCTGGCGCTTCCTTTCTTTCTGTAGGCCACCCACTAGTAATTACATTGCACAGGGATACCAGAACTGGGTCTTTGGCAGTCTCTTGTTTGATTCGTTGCATGGTTTCAGATGTGACTCTGTTTGGTTCAATGTCCATCTCAGCCAATTCCATCTGGAACACTTCGTATTCTTTCGTCGCACTGGTTGTTGAAGGATGATAAGTGGCAGGTGCACGGGACAGAGTGTTGGCAAGGTAAAGTTCCTTTCCCTTCTTGTATTGAACTGATAATTGGTATCTTGGTAGCTTGAGCATCATTTGCTGTAGTTGTCGAGGGGCTTTACAGAGAGGCTTCTTAAAGATTGTCTCCAGCGGTTGATGATCTGTATGTACCGTGATGTTGTGTCTTCCATACAAGTACTGGTGCCACTTTTCCATGCAAGAGACAATCGCGAGACACTCCTTTTCGATTTGAGCATAATTCCTCTCGGTGTTGTTCTGTGTATGCGATGTAAAGCAAACAGGCTGATCGTTTTGTAACAGTACGCCTCCTATTGCATCTTCAGAGGCATCCACTTGCAGAGTTACAGGAATAGTAGGGTCGTAGTAGTGTAATGCAGTCACTGAATCCAATGAGATTTTTTGCTGAGTTAAATGCATTTTCATGGTTCTTTGACCACAGAAATTCAGAGTTCTCTTTCGTCAAATCTCTCAGTGGAAGAACTGTTTCCGACAAGTTGCGGCAAAACTTGCTTAAGTACTGGCACATTCCGAGGAAACGCTGTACCCCGGCTTTGTCAGTGGGCATTGGCATCTTGGTGATTGTGTCTACTTTGGCTGGATCCGGTTCAACGCCTTTGTCTGTGAGTTTGTGCCCCATGAAGGTTACAGAGGGAGATTTGAACTGAAGTTTTTGCACAGACAGTCGGAGATCATGCTTGCTGCACTTCTCTAATAGACTCGTGAGATTCTTGTCGTGGTCCAAGTCAGCTTCCTCGTTTGAATTGCCACATCCGAAAACGCACATATCGTCAGCAATTTTTATTACTCCTTGTAAACCATCTAGGCATTCATGCTGGTGTCTTTGATACTCTTCAGGTCCTGAGACTATCCCAAATGGCATCCTGGTGTAGCAGTAGCGACCATTTGGTCCTTGAAATGTGGTGAGTAAGGATGATTCTTCATCTAGGACGATTGTAGGAAAGGCCTCTGAGACGTCAACAATGGTGAATACTTTTGCCTTGGTTAGAAGTGGAAGCTTTTCTTCAATCGTTGGAATTGTGTACTTGGGTCTTCGAATGGCCCTGTTAATGGTCTGGCTGGGGTCAATGCATATTCGAAGTTTCCCGTTTGGCTTCTCTTTCACCAAGATGTTTGAGAGCCAGTCTGTGGGTTGCGTAACTGGTCTTATGATCCCCTCATTGCAGAGTCTCTCTAACTCTTCATTGACCCTGCCCAGCTTAGCTATGGGCACTGGATGCACTGGAGCGTGCACTGGTCTGGCATTGAGATCCAACACGATGTGCATGGGAGTTCTTAGAGGATTTCCCCGCCCTGGTCTGAATACATTCGAGTAGCGCTGTACTACATCGTCTTTTGTCAATTTTCCCAATAATAGAGCTGGTAGTGGGTTTTGCAAGTCTTCTTCTTCAACTGCGTTTGCCGTCTCATCAGCGTAAACCTTCAAATAAACTAGGGCTTGTGCATCTCTTCCACTGAGAAGCGCTGGTTTGTCATCTGGGACATAAACTACAAGGAAATCTATTTCTTCATAAGACTGAATTACCATGTTGACTTTCCAATTTCCACAATTCACTGTACAATTTAAACATGCTACATTGTATATCTACTAAAAATTGTAACTCTGTAATAGAAAGGGAGGGCAGGAATCAACACTAATGGTAGCTCACTAGCCACAGACTAGTAGAAATTCAGTTTTGGCTGGTGGTTTTTTATTTACACTAGCCAGTTTGGCTAGTAAACAAACTGAAATTGTCATAACATCTGAGATATCACTAGTAAGTTGAAAAGTTAGTGTGGAGCCCTGGAGGGAGAAAATCCATGGATCTCCTACTTTTCATTAGTGGAAGGGAGAGTTTCCCAAACATGTTGTCAAAGATTATAGATTGCATGTGTTTGGTTTTTTTGTTTATGTACAATGTATATCATTTTATAAAAATTGAATACAGTAGATCACTATTAAAATGTTCATCATGGTCATTTGTGGTTTCAAACTAAAATTCTTCTTATTTTTCTGGTTCTTTCACTCAGAAACCAAACTATATACTGAAATACACCTTATCGGGACATACAAAGGCTATCTCTTCCGTGAAGTTCAGTCCAAATGGAGACTGGTTGGCAAGCTCTTGTAAGTTTTGACCATGATTGCATCTGACTTCTCTTTGCAAATGATGCTATCATGCTAATACTAACCCCGTCTTGGAGTTCTAGAAACTTAGTTTGATTTGAGCCCTTTGCTGGGCTGTCTAGCTCTTCAAAATTAGCTTTCATTAGCAGATTTTATCTGCCTTCATCAACCTCATAGTTAAAGAGTAATTGGCATTATGTAAACACTCTATGCATGTGAGTTGTTAAATCTGCCTCTCTGTAGGGAAATAACATCATGTGCATAGCTTTCTGGACTTTCACAACCTTTTAAATATTCAAAATTTGTTTCCTAAGTTAAATTTTCATACTCAGAATTCTATAGAGAGATTGTAAGGTTCTGACATCTCAATGAAGATGGTAAATTTTAAGTCTCAGATGTTCTTAATTTCAAAATTGAGGGCCAAAACATTTTTGATTATTTAATCTTTGAGGCAAGAACATCAATTGCTATCCCTCTACATTATGTAAACTTTAGTCTGATTATTTGGCAACATTCAAACTTTACCACTACATGACTATTTATCTTGCAATTTTGATGTTTTAGCTGCAGACAAGTACATAAAAATATGGGGAGCTTATGATGGAAAATTTGAGAAAACAATCTCTGGACACAAACTGGTACGAGAAAGTTGACTTGTTTTTATTGCTTGTGATTTCGTTAATCCTAGACTACAACTCCCTAGTTCATACCTTCTCGTTATGAGAAAGCTTGTGGTTATCAAAAGTTGAAAGTTGTCATCCAGCCTGTGTTATGAAGTAAGGTAATTTTGTTTTAGCAGTACAAGTGTATATGTGGTTCAATTTTATCCTCTGGTTTAGTTTTTTCCAAACTAGTTCAATTTTTTTTTTTGGACAAGTTTAATTTTTTTTAACCAGTTTTTTTATCAACTGTCTGAAAAAGGGCCTTTTCTTTTTTGGGGTGTGGATGAAAAGTAGGGGCATGGCTTCTGAGGGGGGTCTGAAAAAGAATCAAATGAAAGATGAAAAAGAAGAAAGATAAAGATTTCCCTGCAATTTCTCATCCACTTATTCTCTCTTATAACCTGTCATCCACACAATTTTCCTTGAGAATTTAACCTACCCCACCCCACAGGATCTTTTATATTTCCCACCTAATTTACTTCCACTTCACCCCTATAAAGACTTCTTTATTCTTTTATATTACTCTTACCATGATTTGAACCACCAACCTCTAGCTTTGCAGACATCCATTCTCTCCATTAGACCACGGTGCATGTCGTTGACAAACTTGGGATATTTATTGGTCTTATCAGTAATTAGCCCCAGACCTCCCTCCCTCCCCTTAGCCAAACTTGTTGTTGAAATATTTATACAGAAAAAAATATACACATTTGGTAGAGACCAGGACTTCGAGCTCGAAACATGCCTGAACCTCATGAACCATGTGTACCAAGAGAAATATTTTACGAACAGTTGAACGCCTTAAAAAAACGAACAGGCCAAAAAGGAATCGCAGATAATGCTTTTTATCGAGGATTCATTCTTCGATAAAGCAAAAGCCCATCTCAAATACCAGGCTGAGACGCAGCTTGGAATTCAATCTGAAGAACCCGTGCTGTCAAAGTGGGAGAAATCAACAGCCGTAAGAAAGCAGTGCCTGTGGGCATATTCAGAAAACTCAATAATAACGCAAAACAAGAAAAAAGTCATCCCTAAGAGGGAAATTCATAATGTGTTGGCTCTTGCTCACAATCGCACTGCTCATCTGAGTTGACAAATAACTTGTAAATGGATCAGTAACAACTATTCCGAAGTCAACGTGAAAGTGGTAGCCATATTTGTTAGTCTGTGTCCAATTCATGCTGAGCAGCAGTCGGTAACTAGCCGTGTTAAGGTTGTTGATAAACCTATTCAATCTCCGACATTTCTATCTCTCTCAGAGATAGATTTAATGGACTTCCATAACTGTCCTTGTGATTGTACCTAAAAGCACACATGGGGCATGAACATAACTGACCATCATACTAAGTATGTTTACGTGACACCTCTGAGTGCCAAGTCTGCCGCTGAAGTACTTACCAGATTCAAACACTACTACTACACCTATGGCTTTCCAAAAACAGTCCTAACCGACAATGGTAAAGAATTTGCAAACAAAAAGATGGAAACATTTTGTGAAGAAAATGGCGCTAAAGTGGCTCATGGTTCTCCACGAACTCCAACCACTCAAGGTTTGGTTGAAAGATCAAATAGATCGTGGAATGAGGATACCAGAGCGTTAATAATGAGCATCTCTTCCTCAAGTGTTCAGAAATCGTGTCAAAAAACATTAGAAGCAGCTTATACTAGAAACATAAGCTACCATCGAGCAATAAAGACGACGCCATATGAGGCTGTTTATGGTATTAAAAGCCATAGAGAATGTGAAAATCATGAGGAACAACCAAGAAAATGACAAAAAAATAACTGAAAATCAGGAAAAGTACAACAATGAAATGGTAAGCCAAAAAAAAAAACAAAACCTAGAAAATTTAAAGTTGGAGACATTGTCTCTATAAAAATTGACCGTGTTGACAAGACATCACCTCTGCATTCGAATCTTCTTCTGGGAAAAATTGAAGAAATTGTAAACACCTACGCATGTGTTGTAACCAAATTTGGTAGAATAAACACATTAATTTCACCCACCCGTTTATAAATCCTTGCACAGCTACCACTCAGAACATTGAACTTGAGTACACTACTGAGCTGACATTTTCTGCAGTGTGCAAGAAAGCTATTTAATCTATTTAAATAATTTGTCAAGTAATACTTATTACGAGGTTCTGTCAATTCATCATTTTGTTTCAAGAAGTAGTAAAGCCATTACTGTGTACCAATACTGGTGTTGTTTGTTTGACTGGCTGGAAAAGCATTGGGTACCATCCCTAACCCTAATCCTAATCCTAACCTTAATCAGTAAAATGAATGCTTTAACCCTAATCAGTAAAATGAGTGCTTAACCCTAATCAGTGAAATGAATGCTTAACCCTAATCAGTAAAAAGAGTGCCTAACCCTAATCAGTAAAATTGAACTAGTTAAAAAAAATTAAACTGGTTCAAAAAAATTGAACTGGTTTGGAAAAAGTTAAACTAGAGGATAGAATTGAACTACAACATGTATTTTTTCCATTTCTTAATTAATGTACTTTTTATATTTTCTACGATGAACTGTGTTTGTTTTCCCCTCAAAGTAAATTTGAAAGGAGAAACAAGCAAGTGTATTACTATTTATTGTCTTTGTTTTTTTTCTCTTAGGGTATTTCAGATGTGTCTTGGTCTTCAGATTCAAAGCTACTTGTCTCTGCATCAGATGATAAAACTTTAAAAATTTGGGATTTTGCTACTGTAAGTCATTCACCATGTTCATAGCTAAAGATTTGTGGTGATTTCATGGTACCTTTGACCTAAAAAAATGTGAACTTTGTGCACATGTTTCTAAATGTATAGTTACTAGTGGCAGATTTTGACTTTTTTTTTCATGCTTATTAACCCTTGAACTCCCATGAGTGGCCAAGACAGAATTTCTCCTTACAAAATTCAACACAGTATCAATCAAACAAGTAAAGCGAATAAAGAAAAATGTCAATAAGTGAATTATTAGTTGATCCAATACCAAATTCTCCAAACTAACATCATAACAATATATATGACAAATGGTAATAAAAAGAGAATGACAAATAATTATGATCTTAGGAGTAAAAATGGGCTAAGGAGGTCAATTGTGTTCTTGTTCTAGGGTAAGTGTCTGAAGACACTCAAAGGACACAGCAATTATGTGTTTTGTTGTAATTTCAACCCTCAGTCCAACCTCATTGTGTCTGGCTCGGTGAGTATCATGATAGTAATTCAAGGTCTGAAATGAACTTTTTAAAGGTTGAGGACAAGTGAAAATTAAGCATTAATGCTTCACTTGCCAGATGGAATAATATGGTTGCTATAAACTGTCTGATTTTGTAGAATTTCTGGTTCATAGTTATGAGGAAAAAAGTGTCCATCTAATTTTGAATTGAAAAAGTGAGATGTAGGTGTCCCTTTTTGTTTCAAAACTGAGGGTTTACCAATTCATTGTTGATTGCATTCTCTGTAGGTTTCAAAAATTCATCATAAAAGTTTTTAAATTGTTAAATTCTCCTAATTGGCTGCAAGGAGTTGTTTTGCTCTGCTCTTTGGAGGTTGTTGTGTGACTTTTCCATTGTTTGCAACTTTGGTGAAGAGAAGTGCATGGGTAAACTCGGTAATCCAAACTTGGAGCACCAGGGAAATGCTTCAAAAAACTGAGTTGGTGTTTTTATCTTTTCTTGAAATAACATGAGGTTAGTTGGCTTTCTGAGCTATCCTGCTTGTTGATATGACATAACAGCCCATCTGTGTTTTTAAGGTTTTGGTCTGAAAACTTCAATTTTACCAAGCATTGATTACAGCATTACAACAAAAATTGTCACGCAAATTGTCACACATTTAGGAACAGTGAAGATAGGTGCAGATCAATCTTAGGAAATGCATTCTGATTGGCTAGACATGCCCTCCAATAGACCCTAACATGGGGGCACCCTTACAAGTAAATGCTTCTAGGTTGTAAGCTTCTGGTAGAATTTGCTCCAAATTTATTAACTTTCTCTTTCTTTAGTTTGATGAGAGTGTACGTATTTGGGATGTCAAGACAGGAAAGTGCTTGAAGACTTTACCAGCTCACTCAGACCCTGTTACAGCTGTAAGAATTTTTTTTTTGTTAAGGAAAAAGCTTAAATTGCAATAGCATTGACATACACATACTGTAAGGAGTTTGAAACTCCAACTACAGCTACCAAAATGTGACATGTACTATTCCACTTCATTGTTTAATGAAAGATGATTCTTCGCTTCTGTTACTTTAGCAGTAAGCTATAGTGTAGTTCTCCTGAATTTCCACAACCTGTGCTCTGTTTATTCAAGGCTGATAATAATGGTTTATACAATGATTCATTCATTTAAGCAAAGGGTCGGGGTTAGTTTTGTTAAGAAACTGGGGTGCTGTGTCAGTGGGGGTTGTTGCAAGGTAATTTGGTTTCATCAACTGAGTCAATAATGGAAATTGGCCTCTGTAAAGAGTTCTTAAAACTGATATTTGAAGCATATTAGAGCAAAACATTATCAATTCAGTTGATGAAACTGAATTATTCATTCATTTTCTTCTTTTGGTTGAGTAAGTAGAGGCCACTACCAACTCTTCTATCTGCGACCAAATAGTGAACTTTAGTTGGTATTGATTTAATTATTATAAATGTCTTTCTGTGACTTTTCTTTAATTTGACAGGTTCATTTCAATAGGGATGGTGCTTTGATTGTGTCAAGCAGTTATGATGGCCTCTGGTGGGTTCGATATTCTGCCTTTTTCATTTTTATGGCAAACATACATGTTTTTAGTTGTGATTTGATTTACTTTGGATGCTTTTCTTCTTCAGTCGTATTTGGGATACAGCTTCAGGGCAATGCCTAAAAACTCTAATAGGTAAGTGAAACACAGTTTTTCATCATTTGAAATGTACCAAACCCTTTCTCCCGTACTGATTCCACTTTTGTTGAAGCTAAAAAAATTATGGATTAAGTACTCAATGAATAGAAACAGGTAACCTTGTAATCCTGTTATTTAGAAAAGAGATGGACGGGGGGAGGGGGTGTTCATTTGAGAGGGGCGCTTGTTTGTCATTATGGCCGAGGGAGTGGGCACTTTTTCGTGGAAGATGCTTATTTAAGGAAATAAGGTATTCAAAATATTAATTATTGCTTAGTTGCTGACTTAAGAAATGTTTCTTTTCTTAGATGATGACAACCCACCAGTATCATTTGTGAAGTTTTCACCTAATGGAAAGTACATCCTGGCAGCCACATTAGACAAGTGAGTTTATATGCCATGGTCAATTTTATGTAAGGATTATCTGAATATTTTGCTTGGAAATTCCTTTTGGGTACTAGAGTGTAATATCATTTCTTTTCAGCACTTTGAAGTTGTGGGATTATAGCAAAGGAAAGTGCTTGAAAACCTATACAAGTCACAAGAATGAGAAATACTGTATTTTTGCAAATTTCTCAGTAACTGGTGGCAAGGTATGGATTGCTATACTGTGAATTAGAAAAAAGTAAGGAGCTTCAAGTTGTGTGATAAAGGAATTGCATAAAAACTTTTGTTTCCTTCCTTGTTTCCAGAATCTTGAAACTCTACAGGAGCCTTAATCTTCAAAGATTTTTAGGATTAAGTTTCGAGGGACTTTTATCTTACTTGAGAGCTTTGTTGTACTTTATATGTGTGGAGAATTTCTGTATATTTTTTTTTTGTTTGGTTGCTGATTAATTTTATTTAGAAAGAGCCAATTGCTATAGTAATTGCTATAATATAGTAATTCTACTGGAGGATTACAGCAAAGATTGTCCAAAGAAATTAAGGATCGCAACAATGATTGAAATTTAGGATTGCAGTAATGTTGCTTTACTACATACTTTTATTAGTCCACAAAACATGCACAGTCATCTTAACCGCTTAACTTCCAGAAGTGACTAACATGTAAATTCTCCCTATTATATTGTCAACTAATTTAGAGGAAAATGTTTAGAAGCTCGTGGGAACAATTAACAATCAAATCTAAGAACCAATTAGGACTTGAAGATTATTACCATGCTTGGCTTGAGGCAGTTTGGTTGGATCACCTGTGAGCTGTCACAAGTTCTAAGTGATAGTTTTTGAATGGTCATTGTGATTGTTTGGTTTATTCAGGATATTCAGAATTGTTTTTGGACATAGTGGCCCAAAATAGCTGTAGATTTAGAACAGTTATTTCACTGCAAAGGATATCTTTTCATTACTGAAATTCAGTAATATTATGTGTAGAAGATTATTGCTTTTGGTAGCTTTTGTTATCATGGTGTTGATGTAATTTCCATGTGTTTATAGTGGATAGTATCTGGGTCAGAAGATAACCTGGTGTATATCTGGAACCTGCAATCCAAAGAAGTTGTGCAGACACTTGAAGGGCACAGTGGTAGGTTGTGTTTTTTGTTGCAGAACATTAAAAAAATAAAGAGTTTCTGTCAAAGCATTTAACCCTTTGGCCCTTGGAGTGACTAGCATCTAATTTCTCTCTACAGTATCATCCCCAAATCACACATTAAGATAACAAGAATGAAAGAAATGATCACTGAGTAAAGACGCTCTTGATTGTTAAACAAAATTCATTCTCCTTAGCACCTGAGGAAAGGAATAGAGAACAGTATGGAGTATATGCATACTGACGCTAGGGTGTTGGTGTAAATGGGTTAAAGGCCTGACCTCTAAAGGTCAAAAGTACCAGGATTGTTTTAGAACTAGGGGAGCAGGGATGGTGCAGTGGTGAGAGCACTCACCTCACCTCTCACCACTGTGGCACGGGTTTGATTCCCGAACCTGGGGTCACATGTGGGTTGAGTTTGCTGTTGGTTCTCATCCTTGCTCCAAAGGTTTTTCTCCAGGTCCTCTGGTTTTCCTCCCTCTGCAAAAACCAACATTCTAAATTCCAATTCAACCTAGAGTCAAGTGTTTTTTAACATGAGCCACCAGCTTGGAAGATTGGGCAACCACTTCCTACATTTCGGACTTTAAATAATTATTATTAGAACACATTCAAATGAGCCTCAGGAAGTCAGCATTAGATTTTTCATGCCAATTTGTGTGAACAACGAACTTGTTCACGTCTGATTGGTTTTTGGGACCAATCATAATAATTACTTAATTTTGCTAATGTAATGTAAGAAATATATAATTTTCCCACATTGACAAGTAAATTTAGCATTGGAAATGCTTAATGTGACCTGTCTGAATTGAAGCTGCAGGTAGCATAAAGAATACTTACCAGTAGCAAGAGGTTACTTACCTTTACTTAAATGAATTTTTTTTGTTTCAGATGTGGTCCTTTGTTCTGCCTGCCATCCAACTGAAAATATCATAGCATCTGGTGCCTTAGAGAATGACAAAACTATAAAAATCTGGAAATCTGATTCATAACAGGAGAAATGCAAGCACCTGAAGTTTCTGCAATGCTACTGCTCAGGAAATGATATTCTGCTTTTATACTCCTCAAACCCACAACACTTACTTCCATGTAACTTCCCTTATAATATCAATACTTGATCCAGAAAACAGATGATCAGAAAATACAAACTCACATAACCTCACAAGTTTCCTCTTGATAATACACCCGTTCTCATTACTTATTCACAAGGAATTTCTAGCTGGAAGCAGGAAGAATTTTATGTGTGATATGGGGGTAAAGGGTTGCTGGTTATGGCTAGATGTGCTGCCAGTAGTGACAAACCGTTTCTCCCCTTTATGTGTAGAGCCACTGTTGGTTAGTACCACTTCAACTTAACTTTAAGTTTTAGTTGTACTTCAATAGTTGATACAATCCTCTTTTCTTTGTGAGTTTCCCTAGCCAGTCCAAGGGCTTGGGAAAATTTTTGATGCAGTACCTAGTTTGCTTACTTAGAATAATGACCTGAAAGGCAGTGGTCAAACATCTGCATATGTGCAAACCTTTTAATGACAAGGTGGCATGAGTTCAGGCTGTCAGGACCAAATTAAGAAACCACACAAACCATTAAGTCACTGGGTTTTCAAAGCATATAACTTTTTTGGTAAAATTCAAAATAAAATGATAAATCAACAGGAAACCTGTACTTGAATAAGCCTTGTGTTTGAAAAGTCTGGAGTTTTCCTTTTACTGCTGTGTTGTGGCCTGAAAAGCATGCTTGGGACTTGGACCCTTTCAGAATATGTAAGGACTTAATAACTAACTAAACTTTGAGGTCTTAAGAAATGAGTGTGGCTTATCCCTGAGATAGCAGGCAATTTCAGAAACTAAGTTCTCCTTTGGAGATTTGTAAACTGCGTACATGTAAAT